TGGCCAGGCGCTGCTTGCCCCCCCTCACTTCCGTCGCCTGCGCCCCCCTGCGCAGCCCATTGCAATTCCCCCCCGACATGAAGAGGGTGCTCGACCGCGAAAGCTGACCCCTGGATCGATTGACTCCCCCGATCTGTTTTCGCCACATGAACTGGGACCCCCCGGGCGCGATTCTCGAATCGAAACCAACGTGAAATCGAAATCGCCAGGGGATCCGGGATAGATCAGAACTTCGCAGCACGGCCACCACCTTCAAATCGAGTGCGAAAGAGAAGGCGAGGGGGCGAGCAAGCTGGCAGACGCGCGAACTCTTCCTGCTCCCCTTGCTTCTCCTGCTCCTCCTCCCCCCACTCCTCCTCCCGCCACCCCTCCCCACCCCCCAACCCCAGCCCCGCACTCCACCCCGCCCCCACCCCCACACCACCCCGCGCCTCCGCCCCCCCCCCCCCCCTCCCCCGCCACCTACCACCGCCCCCCACCCCGACCCCGCCCCGCCAGCACCCTCGCGCGCGCGCCTCCCCCCCTCGCCTCGCCCTCTCCCTCCAGGGCCCCCCCGCATCGGCCTTATCTGCGAAGCACCCGGCGCCTGCGCCCCACTTACTACCGCGCTTCGCTTCGCGCCCTGCGACGCGCGAGGCGCGGTCATCTTCGAGACCCCGCGCGACGCCGGGGGGCTGGGGGGCCAGGTGGGCCGGTGGCCAGGGGGGCCGTCAGAAGACCCTGATGTCCCATGAGCCCGAGATGTTGGAGGGGGCCCGGGAAGCCCCGGGGGCCCAAGGAGACCAGGAGACCGGGGAGAAGATGGAGGAGGAGACGCTGATGAGGAGGCGAAGGAGAAGGGGGGGGGAGAGAAGGAAGCACAAGTTCATGGGGGAAGGAAGTGGAAGAGGAGGGGGTTAGAGGAGGAAGAGGGTGGGGGGCGATGAGGAGGGACAGCAGAAGGGGCAGAAGGGGGGGGGGGAATGAGGGAGGAAAAGGCAGGAGGAGGAAAAAGGACAGGGGAGAGGGGGTGACTAGGAGAAGGAGGAGGGGAGGAGGAGGAAGACGAGGCTGGCCCCTTGGGACTTTGATGGGGAGGGGAGGAAAAGGAGGAGAGGAAGGAAGGAAGGGGGAGGAGGAAGGGGGGGGGATCGTGGACGAAGAAGGAGGAGGAGGAGGAAGGTGAGGCGCGGCAATGGCGCAACTCGCTTTAGGGGGGGGGGTGGGGGGGGAAAGGGGGGGGGGGTCGGGTGGGGGTGGGTTGGGGGGGTGGGGGGTGGTGGGGGTGCTGGGGGGCGGCGCGCGTGCGCGCGGGGCGGGGGTGGGGGGGGGGGGGCGAGGGCGGAGAGGGGGAATAACATCGGGGCCCAGTTTCACAGTTGGCTAAATGGCGGATCGAGAACCCAACGTTAAAAACTAAGTCTTGGTAGAGAAGGATGAGGAGGATGACGAGGACGAGGGGGAGATGAGGTGCTGAGCAGAGAGGGCAATGAGATGGAAGAGGGAGGAGGAGTACATTGAGATGAGATAAGCGGAGGGGATGAGATCAGGAAGAGGAGGACTCTCCTCTCCCACCCCCCAAGCAATCTTCATGCGCACGCTTGCTGTTCTCACTGTTCTTCTGACGCAGGCATGGTGGCGGAGCCCGCGGCAGCCCCCCGCCCCGCCCACTCCAGCTCCTAGTGGGCAACATGGCGTCGCCCTGAATTGGCTCGAACGGCTGGAGTAGCTGACCAGATGCCGTGGTAACCACTGTAATCATATAATAGTAACAGTAGTATCAGAAAAAAAGCACGGCCTTTGTTGAGGCCGACGACAGCTAAAACAGATGCCAGAATTGCCCCAATGCACGGTGCGCAAATCATGTTGCCAGCGAGGACAGTGGCCTGGTTGACCGAAAGCCCAGACAAGTCCAAGTCTTTCTCTTGCCAGCCTTGCAAGTGGAACATCTCTGCAGGATACAACAACCTTCCGACTTCGGGGTGGGCTGCATCCGGGATGACCACCATCTTGGAGTGGCACGACAAGGTCCTCATGTTGTAGCCGCCCATGCGCACGCTCGCCCTCAAGAACGATTGGGAAACGTCGAGGATCACCCACTTCACTGGGTCCTCGCCCTGGTCCTTCAGGATCCGAAGGAGGCAGATATCGGCTGTCTCAGGCTCGCGGGCGCAGAGCTGCTGCTTTCAGATCATCGCTGGTCACGCTACTGAATGGGGCACCGCCCGCATCGCATCTCCTCGGCAAGTGCAAGACGCGCCAGGCGTGGGCAGATTTGGCCGAAGTACTAGCGATCAGAGCGAGCTTCTTTCCAACGCGCGGCGTCGGCATGGGCGTCGCTTTCTCGGACGCCAACCAGGAAATCAGCGAGGTGGTAGCGATTTCCGAGAGCCGGAATCTTCAGGGCTTCAATGTTGCCACCAGGCATTTGGGTTCGATCTGGTGATGTCTTTCCGAATCAAAATGAAGTACCACCGATCCCGAATATGAGAAAGCCGAGCGTCCCTGCTGCTGTATTGGTACATCTTGCACTCGTAGTCTGGCAGGTGCTCTAAGCCGTACTTGCGTACCTTGCCAGACTTCAATATAATCCCCCCACGAAGGACGAATTCGATCGGGGAGTTATTCTCGCTGCCAGCCTTTGTCCTCTGAATGCCTAGGAGACTTTGATTGCGCGGGCCTGCCAGACCACTCCCCCCACTCCCCCCGCCCCCTCGCACCGCCGACCCAAGCCGCCGGCTCGAACCTGGCCAATGCTCAATGCCTCGTTGCCGGAAAGGCAAAAGGAGAAAGGGCAAGGGGGGGGCGCCCTCTCTTGTGGGCACAATCAGAGATCTCCGAGATACCGTCCACGTTCTCCAGGATGCACACTGCTGGTTTGTGATGCGTCGGGTCCTGCAGGTACTCCGAAATCGTCTTGAACGGCTGGGCGTCTTTATGTTTCCACACGTTCCTGCCCCAGCGCCGTGGATTACACATGCTGAAGGGCTTGCAAGGGAAGCCGCCGACGAATATATCAGGGTTAGCGCTTACAGCCGCCGTGCAATCGTCGCCTGCCGCACATGCTGGACTGATGCAAGATGCCGGGCCATTGAGCGTCTTGGACAAGTCGCAGCAATAGAGGTGGTGTGGGGGCACATTCGCGGCGATGGATGTGCACGCGTGCTTGCAAGAGTCGATGGACGCAATGAGCTCAACGTTGAGAGGGCCCACGAGTTTGCGCAGCGCGTGCACTGCGGCATCAGTTCCACTGCAGACCGTCCTCATCGATATCGGGGTGTCGCCAAAAGCATCTGGGTAGTCACAGACGTCGGTGCCGTCCTTGCCAAAGAGAATCAATCTGGACTTATGCACCCAATGCCACTCTGGCCAATCCGCGTTCTGGACTGGGTCTCCAGGCCCATCGGGATCATCATACACGGATCCCAACATAAAATCGCTGCACTCAATGGATGCGCACGAGCTAGACTCGTCGCCATCATAGGATGAGCGTTGTGACAACGATTTCGCAGGGGCGAGAACATGGAGTTCGATGGTGTAAACGTTACAGTAGATCGTTGGTACTCAGACGCCACACCAGAACCCAACTCGAAAGTATCTGGACCCGAGTAGTCCGACAAAGTACTGCCCATCGAAACATCATCATCAGCTCTATCATCAGCGTCAGCGGCGCCGCCCTTGCCGCTGCCCCAACCCCAACCCAATCTTGCTGGGGCTTGTCCATCAGAGGAAGCACGACGGAGAAATGTGTATATATATATATATATATATATAGCTCTGAGCTCCTTTTTTTCACTTCGGCCAGAATTGCACTGCCCTGCTCGTGCAGGAATCCAGAGACTCATATAACTGACTGAAAAAGACCGGTCTTAGAGGCACTTGAATTCCCATTAAAGTCAGGGGACCATAAGCGGGGAGGGCGCGGCGGGAGCCTTGGAGCCCCGGCGGGGGCGGAGGAGGACCGAGGGAGGGAGGAACGCCCGAAGTGGAAGGGGCGTTTGCAAGCACTCGGACCTCTGCCCTCAGAACGGCCACCCGTGAGTACACTTCGCACAGAGCTAAGACGATACGGGTCATCTCACAAGCTCTGAGCTCCTTTTTTTGTCACTTCGGCCAGAAGCAACTTGTCGCGGTGACTGCACTGCCCTGCTCGTGCAGGAATCCAGAGACTCATATAACTGACTGAAAAATACCGGTCTTAGAGGCACTTGAATTCCCGAATTGCCGACATTTATTACTGGAGGCAGGGGCTATCAACACGAACACACTGCTAAAACCAGCTATTGAGCGAGCGACCAGGGCGTTTTTTTATTGTTTTGTAAAAAAAGCTAAAAGCTTACAGAGGGCAGGCGGATACGGCTCAGCGATGTGAGTGCGGAAGACGCCGTTCACCTTTCCAGCCAATTCCACGTGTGGCTGGTAAGGTCCTTGAACAAAACCCTCGACCTAGGCACTTTCGCTCAGAAGCTGAGAGGTCAGCGTGGACAGAGATGAATTGGGTTCTTTTTCTCCAAGGACGATTGAACATGCAGAAGTCGGCCCTGTAAGTCGAGGCCGTTTTTACAAAAAGATGTGCTTCATCGGGGGGCATATCCACAACCGGCTCGCGGCTGGGTTCTCAAGCGCCGCTGGAATCACCAGTCGAGAGCACAGCCGTAGCACAGAACACGAAAACTTAAGGAGGGCGTTGCCGATGTCCACTTTGAGCTGGTCTACGTCCCTGAGGTTTGGAAGTCCCATCGGCAGGTCGTCGCTGCGCAGCCGTGGAGGACCGTTGGGCTTATCGCGAGCCCGTGAGAAGCTAGAGCACGGGGTGCCCATCCAAACGGCCACCACGTAGCCGCACATGATCCAACCACGAATGCGCTTCTGAATCCTCGGCATCGTCGCGTCGTACTGGTCCCCGTGCTTCAAGTCGAACTCGATGATGGGGGTGCCGATCTGCTGACGCCACGCCTGGGAGAAGTGGCCACTGCCGGCGAAGATCTCGAGGGCGAAGCTGACCGACAGCAGGTTCGCCTTCAGGAAGGCGAGCGCCCGGCCAGGATGCTGCCAATCCGCGAAGCGCATCGGGGCGCGGCTTGACGCGCGCCTGGGGCGAGCAGGTGAAGCTGCTCGGCCAGCCGCCCGGCCTTCTGGCATCTCCTCGTCGAGTTGGCGGCCGCCCAGTTCCCGCGGTGCTGGATCTCGAGCATCGTGCGGCGACCAAGCGCGTGGTCCAGGCTTGCCCCTGCGCGCCGAAGGCCGTAGAGGGTCGGCGGGCCCAGCGCCTCCAAGCCCAGCTCCAGTCCGGCCTGACGGTGCTCCCGCGCCCACGTCGGGTAGTCGAAGCTGAACAGCCTTCGCTCGGACCCCTCGCCGGGGCCGCGCAGCCGAGCCAGCGCTGGGGCGAAGAACAGGTGTTCGTCGAGATCGAGGATCCGAGAGTCGTCCCAGCGATTTGTCTTGGACGGCCGCCCGAGCTCCATCGGGTGCAACACCAGGGTCCAGCGCCGCTGGAACGAGTGGCCGGCGGCCAGCGGCGGCACCAGCTGGCAGGTCCTCAGGTCCAGGAGCTCGCTGGGCCGCAGGTAGAAGATCACGCGCATCACGATCGCCGCGGCCCTGCCCCACCGGTCCTTCCGCACCAGGAGGTCCGCGATCAGGCAAACCACCTCCCACGGGGTCGGCAGGCGCGACTGGCTCGGCGACCGCAGGCTCCAGCCCCGCAAGGCCTGCCGGACGCGGGCCAGCCTCGCGCCGCGCTGGCGGCTGAGATTCGGGCGCAGGTAGCAAACGGCACAGACCAGGCGGCTCCCTAAACTCGAGTGGACGCCCTCGAAGTACTTGCAGTCGAAATAGTCCAGCACGGCCGTCTCGAGGTCGTAGCTTCCGCTCCCGGGCCCAGTCCGCGAAGAGGCCCCAGCTCGTCTGGTACAGCATCCGAGTCCGCAGCCTGACACTCTCCAGCTGCAAGAAACTCATGCGGTTGAAGGCCGCCGGCGCCCCGCTCACTGCCCAGCGCCCGCGGGCGGGCGCCCGCGCGGCCGCGGCCTTGGCCGTGCTGCGGCGGGCCCGCCTCGCGGGCGCCATCGCGGGCATCCCCGCGCGGCGCGGAGAGGCAGGAGCGGCGGCCGGGCCCTCCGCCCGGCCACTCCGCGCCGGCCCCCGCGCCCGCGGCGGCGGCGCCACGCGCCGCGGCAGGGCCCCGCCGGCCGAGAGGGTCGGGGGAGGCACCTGGACCGGCAGCGGCCGCGCCTCGCGGGCCAGGATCGGCCCCTCGCGATCGCCACCCGCCGGAGTCGGAGGCGAGCCCGCGCCTCGAGGGAGCATCCGCCGAGTTGAGCTCGCTGGGAATCCAGCGGACGGTTGCGAAGCAGCCCGACACCAGCAGCGACGACGCCCATGCCCGCACCGCTCTCAGCATGCCTGGGGCCTGGGGCCGAACTCCGGCCCTTCGATAGAGCCAGCGTGGCGGACATCGAGTCGGACAATAAGAGAAGCCTTCGACCCCACCACCGCGTGTTACGAAGCTGGTGTCGCAGCCCCCAGAGCGTCGACCGGGTCTCGAGGACGGGCATGCCTTCGGGGCGCTTCCAAGGGCGAGAGCACACCACGGACCACTTCCCCTTGAGGAGCCTCTCGGGGACCAGTGGGACTCGATCGCCTCCTTCGGGGCCCCCGTCCGCCTCGCCGCCCGCGGCGGCGCCCGGGCCCCTCCGGAGCCGTCACGAAAGCGCCACCTGTCCGAGTACTTCATAGCCTCTACGATGTCGCCCTTGCCCCCCTCCAAGACGGTGACCCCGCGCCCCCACTCCGACGCGTCGCTCGACGCCACCGCGGGGCAGACGGAAGCCGACAGGTCACGCCAACAGAAGCGCACCAGGTGGGAGGCCCATCGGAGCTCTTTACGCACCACATCCCACAGAGGCACCCGCTCGTGTCGATGCCTTGCGGTGAAGGCGTACACAGCGTTGAAGCAACACAACAACTCACGACGCATGAGGAAGGCGTGCGCGCAGTGCCCCACGAGGACCTCCAGATCCTTCCCAGAGAGCTTGGGGCGCCCAAGGGCATGCTGAAGGGCCAAACGGATCCTCCAGACACGTCGCTCCTTAGCACACACTACCGGCCGCTCGCTCGAGAAAAACCAACCTAGAGCCTCCCCCCCCGGTCCCGCTTCGACAGGGTGAGCACGCAACCCGGCGAGGCGCAGCTCTTCGGCCACACCGTGAGCCGCAGCTCGGGCGTTTCCCGGGACCTGGGAGAGGGCAAGAAAGTTGTCGACGTATTCGGAGTGAGCGACAGGGGAGGGCGAGGGAGGGCGACGGCGATCCTGGATCCTGGACTCCATCCCAAGACCTGGGACCCGGGAGCTGATGTCTTCATGCACCCGCTGGCGCCAATTCAGGGCGTGGGTCCACCCCATCGCCAAGACACAGAGACGTGGGTAGACAAGAGTGCTGGGTGAGACCTGGGATCCCTCGACAGTGACAGACACCCCTAAACGGCCGGCTCGAACGGGCGCCAGTCCAAAGTACGGGCGAAGCTCGACCGGCATAGCAAGCTGATAGAAGGCATCTTGTATGTCAGTCTGACCGAGCTCGAGAGTGAGATCGGCAGCAGCAAAGAGGCAAGCAAAAGAATCCCCCGAGGCCAGTCGGGTGGGGTCCCTGAACCAACAATTCGACCGGCGGGCATCAATGATGAGGCGTTGCTTCCCGTTCTTTTTCCAAACACTTAAAAAGTCCGCAAGTCTCGACCACGTCGAGAGAGTACTCGATCATTCCTTTGCTTGACATGACTGCCAAGAGACGCTCGTACTCTCGAGGCCGGTGCAGCAGAGGTTCAGAGTAGGGGCGGCGTGGCACTCCCTCGAGGCCGAGACGCACATCTGCCTGATTCTTTGGCAAGAGAAAGTCTTTTACACAACCGCGGACTTCAGAGCGGCCATCACGCAGCAGCTGGACCAGGTCGGCAGGAGCGCCGGCCCCGCTCAGGCTGAGCAAGCCCATGTCCATCGGCGCCGCAGCCACAGGCGCGCCCTCGTAGCTGTGGTTTGCCCGGAGCTCATCAAAGGCCCCCAGGCAGGTGAGGTCGGCCGGCGGCCGCCCCCACCGCTCGACACTGGCTCTCACGTTGGCCATGCCGAGGTCGTGCACACGCGGCCGGAAGCGACTGGAGCGGCAGACGTCCGTATCCTTGCACAGGTGCCCTCCTATCTCATTCAACGAGCGTGCCACGTCCGCGCGCCACTGGTCGGCGTGCGAGCGGGCCTCGACGCGGCGCCTGACCTTCCGGCTGACGTTGAACTCCTTGGGCTCTGCACGCCCCAGGAACCCTTCAGCATGAAGAGGTAGAGCATCGCGCTGACCAAAAACCGCACCAGCTTGCTGAAGTCGCTGGCGCTCCCCCTGCGGCAGGCGGGCGGGCAGGTCGGGGTCATCCTGCCGCCCTCGCGCTGGCTTAGCCATCCTTGCGCGAGAGGCGTGCCTCCTCCCGCGCTTTTCGCATCTGCTTCGCCACGCTGGCGTCCTTCTCGATCTCCTTTGAAACCCACTCTACCAACTCGGGGCAGATCATCACCTCACCTCCGAGCCTGTGCGAGCCAGTGAAGTAGGCCGCCTCCTCGCGCGACAGCCCAGCACCCTGCTCCTTGCCGGTGGCTGCCTTGCCCTTCTTCTCGTAATGGTATTCGATGAGCTGGCGCCGAAAGAGCGTGACCTCCAAGCCCACCAGGTTGGGGAGGTCGACCTGGTCGTACTCCCCAAAGAACTGGAACGCCCGCATGCCGTGCTCGTGCTCCTGCACCCCGAAGTCCGTGCCCTGCAAGCGGAGATGGCCGACCCACCAGCGGTGGTGGTCGACCGGGCCGCCCCCCCGGCGGTCCACGAAGCGCGCGCGCCAGTCAACGGTGCGCGGCCCCGGCAGCGGCCAGTCCGAGAACGCGACCTGGGCCATCTTCGCCACCGTCCCCCTCCAGAGGCGCCGGCAGCGCCCGCGCATCGAGGCTGCCGTCACCAGCTCCACGACGCCCAGCAGTCCGGTCGAGGTACTCCTCCTTGGTCTCCCCGTCAAGGAGCCGCTCCACGAACACCCAGGCCCCGTTCGACACCTGAGCCACGCCAATGCGTGTGTCTCCCGACACCCGCGACGCGTCCGCGACGGTGATGGAGTCGCCCACCTTGCCCTCGCCGGTGTCGACGGCGATGACCCAGCGCCCCGGGGGCCCCGGCGCCTCCGAAGGCGGCGGGAGCGGCGGCGGCATTGGCTGGCGCACCCCGCGGGGTCTCCGTGCCCCCCACCGGCTCAAAGCCGCCCAGGCTGCCGGCGCCCTCCGCCGGAGCCCGGTACCCCCGCGCGGCGCCCCCCTGGCCCCGCAGCGTCTCCGCCTGCTGCGCCAGCCTCCTGAGGCCATCGGCCGAGGGCATCTGGCCGAACCTGTAGCCGCGGCCCCGCACCTGCGCGGGCTCCACGCCAGGAATGTTCTCGTAGAGCACCTCCCGGATGTCGTCGTTCACCTCTAGATCCTCTACGTGCATGTCGCCATCGGGCGTCAGCACCACCCAGCTGTCACCAGACGACCGGAGCTGCTTCAAGAGCAATCTTTGATGGTACAGAGCGGGCCCGGTTACTCGGCAGCGCAGCCAAGCCACCTGGTACCTCTCCCCGTGGTCCGCCATCGCCTCCACGAACGGTGCCCGAGCTCCCGAGGCGCCCGCAGCACAGGAGGATCGCGGTGAACCCGCCAGTCACGCCAGCGCCTGCCAGGACGCCGAGAACGAAGAGGAGCAGGCCGCCCGAGCTCCAGGCGTTGCAGTCCTCCGCGGCCTCCGGAGCCGCCGGGCACTGGCTGGCGTGTCACGCCGGACAAGGAGGGCACGCCGCGGGCTGCGGGCGCGGCGGCAGCGCGACCGCCGGGCAGCTCGTCTGCGGGCACGGCGGCGGCGGCGGGCAGCGGAGCAGGTAGGCCTGTGTCACCTGCGCCGCCGCCTGCAGCCCAGGCACCCAGCGAGCCCCTGCCATCCGCCGCGGGCGCTCGCGCACGCGCCTCAAGCCTTGGGGCCCCGACGGAGACGGAGGGGGACCGAGGGGGGGGGGGAACGCCCGAAGTGGAGGGGCGTTTGCAAGCACTCGGACCTCTGTCCTCAGAACGGCCACCCGTGAGTACACTTCGCACAGAGCTAAGACGATACGGGTCATCTCACAATATAAACAGAGAGAGAGAGAGAGAGAGAGAAACCAAGAGAGAGAGAGAGAGAGAGAGAGAGAGAGAGAGAGAGAGAGAGAGAGAGAGAGAGAGAGAGAGAGAGAGAGGGGGGGGAAAGAGAGAGAGAGATAGAGAGAGAAGAGAGAGAGAGAGAGAGAGAGAGAGAGAGAGAGAGAGAGACAAACAAAAGAGAGAGAAAAAGAGAGGAGAGAGAGAGAGAGAGAGAGAGAGAGAGAGAGAGAGAGAGAAGAGAGAGAGAGAGAGAGAGAGAGAGAGAGAGAGAGAGAGAGAGAGAGAGAGAGAGCGAGCGAAATATCGAGAGGCATGGCGGCATGGCCCATGGCGAGTTGTTACGGAGCGACGGAGAGGTACAGGCAGAAGGCCAGCAGCAATTACACAGTGGCACAGTAGGAGAGATGGGGGAGGGAAATAGAGGGAGGAATTATATACATAATACCATGAGCAGCATTGCACATTTGGATGAGTTCTGAGTGCGCTCTTGTGGAACAGGCATTCTCTCTGTTGCGGCGCCCTTCGTCGCACCCCCCCCGCACTCCCGCCCCCCCCGCCCCCCTCCCCCACCCCTCCTCCAACTCCCTTCCGCGCCCAGCGAGGTCATGACCCCTCCAATCTCCCACCTCTCCTCCTCTTCTTCCGGAAACTGCCCCCCCCCCCCCCCCCCCTTCGGCAGACCTGCGAGGGCCAGGGCAGCCGAGGCTCGGCCCAGGGGCCGATCTGGCAGCGGCCCTGCCCGGACGACCTCCACCCTGAATGCGACCTCCATTTTCAAATGCTCCGGGGGCCTCTCTGGAGGCCTGCTCAGTAGGTTGCGCCCTGGATACATCCCAGAGACGCCTATCCGCACTCTATAGGCGCCATTGCAAATTTGCCCCTTCCCCCCTTGTCCCGACCCAATTTCGGTGCAACCTAGTATCCTGCAAACCCTCCTCCGCGCTGTTCCCGCCGGCAATCGCCGCGAGGTCGCTCATCTCGGACCCCGAGGCATCCTCGAACTCAAACTCAAGAGCAGCCTCCTCCATTGGCCGACGGTGGAGGGCGCCGGCCGACGGGGCGTCTCGGGCTGCTCAGCTGACCGGCCCTCTAGGGCTGGAAGAGGCTGCCGCCGCCCTCTCTACCTCGCTGCACCCAGCCATCAAGCAATAACAAGTACTAAGAGTATAAGAAACAACATACATAACATACACCAGCTGTACATGCCCAAGATAGCACGCATATAGAGTGCGGATAGAGTGCGGATAGAGTGCGGATAGAGCGCAGATTAAGAGCGCGGATAGAGTGCGGATCGTTGTTTTGGCAGCGATTTCGGCAGATGCTAGAGTGCGGATAGGGCGCAGATAGAGTGCGGATCGGATTTTAGAGTGCGGACGCCAAAAAGCATTATTTTTGTAGAGTGCGGACTGTATGCGGATTGGGTTGTTAGAGCGCGGATTGGAATTTACTCGATTTTTGTATTCGTTTCTTTAAGGTGCGGAAAGTGTGCGAATAAGGGCTGGAAGGTGCACTTAGAGTGCGGATTGAATTTTGCGTTGGAAGGTTAGAGTGCGGATAGAGTGCGGATGGGGGCGTTAGAGTGCGGATATAGTGCGGACAGGTCGCGGTAGGAGTGCGGAAAGAGTGCGGGTAGCGTGCGGACGTTCGCAAAGTTAGACTGCAGATAGTGTGCGGATAGTGCGCGGTTTGGGCTCTGTAGGTGCTCCCATGACAATACTATATATGATGTATGTTACGATGACACGATGGTGCGATATAAATATGATATATGACATATGTGACGAAATGATAGGTTATGCTGTGATGGAATATTACTGCATCTGGTCTCGGCGCGATGTGATACATATGATTAGATATGTAATGTGCACGAAAGGATGTGCCGGAGGCAGCAACACAGGAGAACGCGCTGTCGCACATCACTGTCCCATCCCAGCATTGGAGCAACATGCATGCGCGTTGCGTGGCTCGACTCGTCTGGGGCGCTGCAATGCTACCCTATGCTGTGGACGCGAGTCGCTAGCCACATTGGCCCTTGGCTGATCCTTGAGCTCCCCATCGCAGCGCGCATTCGCATGCATGCAACACTCAATGTGTATGGGTGTGTGTATGTCTGTATGTCATGTCGTATGTCGTGCCATGTGTCTAGTTGAATGTGTGACTGCGTGGGCCTGGGCCTGACCCTGCCCATGGCTCCGACCCGAGGTGGGGCAGCATGGCTCCTGAGTGGCTTACCGACCATAAGGCACAAAACTATTGTGGATCTAGAACATGGCAATACGATGGTCTCTTTTGGGAGATTACACTGGTGGGGCGTTGGCCGGTTGGCTGTCCGTTGGCCAGGGCTACTCAGACCGCAATGGGTCACATGTGAAACGGCCCCATGGCTCAAACAATAGGCGATCGAATAAATAACGATGGTCAACTCAGAGTCAACTCCACGGTTGCAGGGGGGGGGTCTGGGGCGATCCTTGGTTTTGAAAAGAAGGTTGTCGGCAACGGGCTGCCTGCTAGGCTATGCGCTATGCGAGGCTATAGCTATGGCCCATGGCGCCATGGCCTATGCGATCGCAACTCGGCACCGGCCCTGCAAGACAAAGCCATCGATATCTCCCCATCGCCAGAACCGGTAGGATATGCATATGATATGCCGTCTGTACTCACATGCCGCCTTGCCTCGGCCAGTGGGCAGGGACACGCGGCCAATGCTCTGAAAACGCATTTTTCTCGCCGGGGCCCCGGGCGCGGTCGCAGCGCCGCCGACCTCGGTCAGCGATCCAAATCATCAGCGCAAGTTAAGTCTGACAATATAATTTAATATGCAATCGCCTGCTGGCTTCGCCGCCGCCACCAGCACGAGCGCGGCGCGCGGCGCAAGGGAGCCCCCAGGGAAGTCCGAGGGGGCGAGGGCCTGCCAGGCTCCAAAGGCAAACGAGCCCTGAGAAAATCCAGGTCAGAGGAATCCAAGCAAACCTTGGAGACCGCCTGAGGCCAGAGAGCACCAGAGCAGTCACGTCGGGAAACGTTCCTCGTCGCCAACCCCTATTTGGCATCATCTTGAGGCCCCCCAAGGCTATCTTCGACGGCCCCACGAGGGGGCCCAACATAATTCAATGCGCCCCGCGCCCGACAGACCCCCGCAGAAACTGCGGGCCCTCGCGGCCTCCCAGGATAAGGACAACCCCGCAAAGATAATCTCATAATCTCGGATAGGGGCCTCGGGCAGCCAAGGGGCGGGGGGGGGGGTCAGTGGAGCGTGTTGTCCACGGATCTCAGCCTTTCGCTTCGAGATGTCCTCACAATATCTGATGACATATATCTTGGTATATGGCGGGGTTCCAGCTCGAGAGAGCTCTGATATACCCAACTCCAATCAAATGATGACAACACAAGAGAGACAGCGAGAAACAACCTTATTCCAAACAATCCAAGCGTACGTGTACGGTCCCCCTGAGCTTCGGACCGAGTTTCTAAGAACTCACCAGACTGGCTCCAGTCTGGCTTCGCGCCAGAATGGCTGCGGACAGGCGGCCTAGGCAGGGCCTAGACAAGGGTGCACAGGTGTCTCACTGGGGCTCCCTGGGCTCCTATACTCACAGAGGGTTGTCTCTACCTCCTCAAAGTATCGAACTTCGAACGAAACTGACATGCCCCGAGCCGTCTGTGAATCCTCGCCTGTCTGTCCACATAGCTCAGAGGGTTCATTATGCCTAACTTGACCTGGTACATTGAACCTCAGCCTCGTCATTGAGGCGTCGCATCTTGCATCATCTGCTGTCGCAGTCCAGGGTGACGAAAGTCACTCACAATGTCCAGGTCAGTATCCTCGATCTCCATGTAGTCTGGGAAGAGCTGCCACGCATCATATGCAGCCACTGCAAAGCCCGTCTCGAGCGTGTCCAAACCCTTCTGTTGCCGATGCTTCTCGGAGATGAAGTTGGAATCGTAGATCAGCTTCCAGGTGCCTCGTTGCTGCCAGAGGTTGTAGCTCGCTCGGGCCTTCTCCGCGTTATTCGTCATGCAGTCGATGAGCTGGGCGCCACTATGACACCAGCGTAGGGATGTCGCAGTAGCTGCCATACCTCTCTCCAGGGCCAAGGCCTCCAGCGCGCTCCTTTTGTCCTTCATGCCTAGCGCGCTGCTCTCCGACCTGTCCAGCGCGTCGAATACTCCACGGCAGTCTAATACCAGCGCTCCGGGAATGCGAGCACATCCTTGTGCCCACTGCTTCAGAGGCACTGGGCCAATGAGGATCTCGCTCAGCAGGAGGCGGCAGAACTCCAGCTCCTCTTGAGCTTCGCTGGCTGCTTGAACTTCCGCTGCGCTTGAGCTTCGACATACCCTGGGCAGCTTTGCTGATGCCCATGAAATCAGAGAAATCGGCGCCTCCTTATTCTGCAGCAGCGCCTGGTCCGTCATAAAGATCAGAAAGCCTCCTTGCGAGGATCCATCTCTGCGTACATTCCAAGCTGCGTCAGAATACCCCACCAGACACGGATTGATGTGCTTCTCCATGATCAGCTCCTTGACAGCTTCCACTCTCGCTCTCCTGACCAGCTTGTTCGCCTGCATCAGGGTGTTGATCGTCGCCGTGTTCGTGTAGGCTAGTAGCAAAGACAACTCGGCGCTGATGAGTGGAACGCCTTGAGTGGATCGCCACATCAGTTGTCCCAGAACTGCGCGTAGATGAGAAGCCTCTCCTGGTGTCACTCCAGCTTCTGGGTCCTTCCGATGTTGAGAGGATATGTCGATCTCCTTCAACTCCTGCGCGTAGTCGACCATGTTCAGATGGATGCGACCCCAGCTCTTAGTGCGACCCTCGTATTCTTGCCGAATCCGAGTCCCACACTGAACGAAGTCTTGAGTCTCCCAGCTACCCCACTCGTAAGCGCCATGTAGTTCTTGAAGTGCGTCTATTGCGGCATGAGAGCCGTTATTAATCGCAATCGTGAAGTCGTCCACGTGTGCGACTGCAATGCCGACGAGACGGCCTTGAGGCACGGCTCCGTCACCGACTCGACCCAGCCGAGTTCCTCCATGTCTTTGCGTACTCTGGTCCACCACCGTCTCGGAGCATTTACCAAGCCGTAGACAGCCTTCTTCAGCTTAGTGCACTGATGATGTTCAAGTCGCAAGGCTTCTCGAAGTTCTTTGACGGGTTCCGCTAGAACGTTCCGATCTTCTCCTCCCAGATCTCCTTGAAGAAAGGCAGCCTTCACATCGCCCTTGAACACCTGAAATCCCATCGAAGCTGATACTCCCAAGAACATCTGTCGCGCTCTACGGCTGCGCGTAGGGGATGCCGTCTTGATCTGTCCCAAGCTCGGATCCGTGTAACCAAGAACCACCAGGCGTGCCTTGAGGTCGCCCGTCTTTCTTGGTGATGACCCAGCGCATCTTCATTAACGCTCCCGGATGTACGCCAGCACGGCTGGCCGCTTCACAGACTCGATACTTCAAGAACGACTTGATCTCGTTCTCCTTGGCAAAAGGCAGCTGCTTCTTCTCCTCCGGTGTGAGGTCCTTCAACTTGACCTCGACCTTGTTCTGCTTCACCAAAGCTGCCAGCATTCTCTCAGGATTCTTCTCCAGCTGGCCCAGGTCCTTCTCGTCTATAGTGAAGCCCACCAATACTGCGAGCCCTGCTTTCTCCTCCGAGGAATATCCGACGAGGTCTTCCTGCTTCGCCTTCCGTGAGTACTCCCAGGGTGACTTCCATTCCGGAGAGACTTCTTCTTCAGGATCTGTGCGTCCCAGATCGGCCATGTAGATGTCAGGCGCCTGCGCCTTCAGCATCTCCAAGTAGACCACGAAGTCGGCGCGATGTCTCTTTAGGTCTCTGTCATTAGGAGGTTCAACACTTGCTTCCCGCTTGTTGATACCTTCTGGAGGTGGCTCGTCATCCCAGGGAACTTCGGGTTGAGGTCTCTCAGCAGGTCGGTCATGTCCTCCTCCTGGCTCTTCGTGAACTTCTGCTGGTTCTCCTGGTAGATCTTCTTCTTCGTGATCCGGTCCATGATCGTCGCCTGCCTCAGAGAAAAAAGTGATCTCCCTGGTCACGAGGTGGTTCTCGGTGTTGATCTCCTCCCTGTCCATCTTCACCCTCGGGAATGTCGTGCCACTCGTCTGGTCCTGGTTGGTCGGCTAGGTCATCGAACGAGCCCTTCGTAAGGTCACGTACCATCCTCTGGAATTGGTCTGAGCTGCCTGCCGAAATACTCTCCAGCGTCTGCTCCGCCTTCGTGACGGTGCGCAGGTGTGCTGCTGCTGCTCGTGCCAGTCGATCACCATCCACAAGCCAGACGACTCCGCGACGTTCTGCTACTCCGTTCTTGACCTCGCGCTCTTGCATCAGCACCGTAGCCGGACCATGGAAGCGTCCAGACATCCCCTGCTTCGTCTTGTGGCTGTTACCCTTGGCGCTTCTCCAGTAGTGGGCCTTTTCGCCAGGCTCCCAGACCTTAAACGGTCGTGTCTTGGCTAACAGCGCTCTCTTCGTCTTCTCGGATAGGTAGTGTTCTACACAAGCTTTATACGCAGTCCGTTTGTTCAGCACTAGCTTCTGGAATTGATCCTCCTTCACCTCTGCGCTGAGAGTGGAGGGATTCTCCTCATCTTGTAGACCATGTCCGGCTGGAGTGCGACCCATGAGGAGCATAAGTGGGCTGTAGTCGTTGTGTCTCATCAGGTCGTTGTTGGCGGCGCACGCCCACGTGAAGATCTCCTGCGGCTCGATATCTTCTGGAGCTTCCCAGGCCATCCGAGTCGCAATCTCCTTGATCGTCTCTATGCACCTCTCGACCACGCCCATGCGCCAATGAGCTTCTCCAGGTTCTGGTCGCCTTTCAATGCCATGACCTGATAGCCACGCACGATGTTCCGCTTTCCGAAAACAACCTTCAGGATCTGATCTCAGAACTTCTGGTTTGCCGTAATGCTGGATCCAGCTCTTCAGGACCGTATCCTTCATCTCCTGAGCTGTGGTGTTGCCGCAGTTCTTGTCCATTTCTCCTTGGCGAGTACGTGGCACGTAGTGAAGCGACTACCATAGTCTGCACACAGGGTGCCTCTGATGTGATACGCCCTCCGAGGATGTGTCCAATAGAAGTTGCCGCATCCTAGCTCTTTCCCAGGCGTCGGAACGGACGGCCCTGAGCTCGCGATTGGACGAAGTTGGAAACGTTGAGCGGCCTTGCACGACGGGCATTCATAGTGCTTGCACAGATCGACCAGCTTCCTGTCGGCCTGCCGAGTCTTGAGAGCGGCCTCCACTGCCGTTAAGCTGCAGTGTCCGAAGTTGCGGTGCAGGTGCGCGATGATGGCCTCCAAGTCCTTGAGCTCCTTCTTTGTGCATCCTTCTGCACTCTTGGGCAGCGGTAGACGTAGGTTGCCCAGCCACCGTTGATCTTCAGGTAGTCCGTCACTTGCTGCTGGCTCCTGACGTCCAGGTTCTACTTCCCTTTCTGTGGGTGCTGCGGCTGGTTCGAGAGTAGGTCGTTTAGGTTGTCCTTGCTGCCCGACATCGTCAGGAGACCGTTTACCTCGGATACGACGTCGTAGATGCTCACGAACTGTAAAGACCCCGTCGTCTTTCGCGTTGACTTCCTTGACAAGGTAGGAGAGGGCTTCGTCGGACGTTATCGTCTTCATGAAATGCTTCGCTATCTTCTTGCACATGTTCACGGGATAGTTCGCCGTTAGCGCCACACGAGTCTCTCCTTCGATCGGTAGATTAACATGTAGGTCTTGACATCGACGTCCAACCTCCTTCTCGAACGTCTCATCAGTTGTAGCTATATACCATTCCTTCTTTAGCAGCACCTCTTCCTTCTCATCGCGCATATCGTACATGCACCCGTGGATGGTGCATCCATGCAGCTCCTGCTTGAGGCTCTTGAAGTTGCCTGTGCATGATCTGCATCTCCCTGACTGCTCCAGGTAAATGTCACAGAATCCAGCTTCTCGAAAATGTGTGATCGCCCAGACCGTGTTGCGCTGGATCTTTCGAGTTTTGATCAGCTTCTTCTGCGCTTCTTCGGTCATGGGGTTCAGGTTCTGCAGAGGGCTCTCTGCTCCACAAGGAGGTGAGAACCAGACCTTCCGTGGCCTTTCCTCCATCAGCGCCTGGACCAACTTCATGGCTCCTCTCCTCGACGTGAAATCGTAGCCGTTCCAGTTACTGGATCGTTCAGCTCGTCCTCCTGCCTCTAGAACGGCCTTCGTCAATCTCGAGTCTGAGACGCATGCCACTTCTGCTAGATCCAGGCGTCCATGTCGTTCTGCAGTTTCCCATGCTTCACCTGGTAGAGCTCCCAACGCGGTGGCCGCGATCAGAAGTGCGTTGACCATCGAGTTCTTCAAACGAGGTGGAAGTCTCCTGCTGGTCTCGGCATGCCCGAGGGCGTTGGAAGATCCCCGGGCACTGGAATTCCGTAGGCACTCTTGCTGACCATCGGTTCTGGAACGCCCTGCCGCTTCATTGCCCTCGGAGGGTCGATCATCTCCTCCACCTTGATCTCGACGTCTGGTTTTGACGGGGCTGAAGTCTGAATGAGACCCTTCTCGATGATCTCCTTGGCCAGGCGCGTCTGCTCCTCCTGTCGAATCGCGTTCCTCTCGTTCTCGATGATCATCTGCACCTCTGTGTCCGAGAGCGCCCTGATGACCTCCGCCGACAGTCTGCTCGGCAGCGGGCGGCTTGGCGTAGGCTGTGGAGCACTTCGCGGGAGTCGGCTCGCTCTCTGAGGTGCTGTCCGCGTAGTTCATGTCCGGGTTGCAGGAGGGGCGAACTCGTGGTAGTTGAGCTTGCCCCGTCGCCTCCAGCCGCTGGAAGTGCTCGCGCGACTTGATGCAGAGGCTGAGCTGCTGGTCCTGCGGCTTTGCGAAGATGTACTTGAACAGGATCTCTCCGCAGTCCCTGCACTTGATCTGATCTACGTGTGCGTTCGTCCCCTGACGTGTCTGGTTCCGATGCGCACATGATCTGACCATTGACTGCCCCGATGAAGAGATTCGGGTTGTCCGGCTGAGAGTAGCTCCTCTGAGCCAAAACGGTTCTGGGAAATACTGAGATGCCAACCCACCGAATCTGTTCGACTTGCCGAGCGTGTTTGTGATCTATGAAACTATCTTGAACCGTGATTCCTTCGCCCCTTTCTCTCATCATGTATGTGATCCGTTCCCCGTGAAGTGCCGAAATTTCCTGATCGTCGAAGTCTCGCGGATCACATCTTTGAAAACGAACCCGACGATGAACTCTACATAGGGCCTCTGGAGTTCCAATCCAAGTGTCCTTCTTAACCTTGTCTCCCTCGGCCCAGTTCGCGTACTCCAGGAGGTGTTCTAGAATCGGTGTCATCATCTGGGTGCTCAAGTTCGGGAACTTTGATCTTATTCGGATACCTATTTCGAGTAGCTGTTGGAGCTCTCTGGGAAGGTCTTCAGCGTCCTTAGGGCCCCTGGTAGCGACAACGATGGATGACGTCTTTTCCGCAGTTGCTGTGTCGCGACCAGGGTCGCAACACAAGGCTGAGCCAGCGTCGCTCAGCGCCGTCAAGTCCAAGGCAAGGTGGCCAGACGCCAGCACCCTCGTGGGAATCTCCTTCTTGAGCCTCCGGGAATACACAGTGTTCCGCTCGTAGTCGATCACTAGCCCAAACTTCTTCAGCATGTCGACTCCCAGCAGGATGGGGGACGGGCGGTCTAGCACGTAGATCTCTACTGTCTGGTCGTCGAGGTTGTGGACCTGAAACGAGACCTTCGAGGGGGCGTCCGCCTGGTCGCCACCCGCGAACGAGAAGCCCAGGCCCGCCCCTGGGCCCACCTCCATCGGGTGCAAGTGCCCGTTCAGGTACTCCAGCTGCTCAACGCCGCCTACGGACCTGGACGCACCGCCGTCCAGAATTGCGTGGCCCTTGCACTCGTCAAGGCTGAAGCCGATGAACGTGCCGTCCTCGAAGTTGCCGTCGTCCTCCACCAGGATCTGCTCCTCGGCGCACGTGCCCACGAAGCTGTCGAACTCCACGATGTGCTCCAGAGCACCCACGAAGCTGTTGAACGCTCTCTTCCGATCAGCTGTCGTTCCACCATTGCCCCGATTGGGACACCCTCGAGCACGATGACCTGTTCTCCACACAGCAGACACGTATCCTTGTCCACCTTCTTCGGCGCCGTACCTGATGAAGTGTTCTGCCTCGTAGTTGATGGTGTGCCGCGGCCTTTTCCTCTGTTCTTGCCCTTGCCCGTGCCTTTGGAGGGTGGTCCACCTCGGCTCACAGCACGACCTCTTCCAGCTCCTGGACCTGGCTGAGTAGGCATGGCATCGTACGCTCCCAGTCCGACCACTGGGAAGTAGCCCCTCGCGTTCTTCACCTCATTGATGAGCTTCCGAGCCTCCAGGAACGTGCGAGAAGCGGCGTATGCTGTCTCCGTCCACTCGTCAGCTCGATCTTCTCCAGGAAGGACTGCCGCCGCTAGACTATCGTCCTGTCCAGGATGCTCCTCTGCGATCGAGGGATCCCCGATCGTCGCCGTCATGAGCTCCTCGGCGGCGGCCATCGCCGTCTCCGTCAGGTCGGCGGCCTCCCCGAAGCCGTCGTGGTAGGCCTCGTCGTAGATCTCTTCCGCGTAGGCGGTCAGCTCGCCTATCTGCTCAGGGTCCTCGAATATCGCGTGCACTCCTTTTCTAGATTTGTACCCTTTTTGCTTATCTATGGTTGCCAACTGTTCTTCGGACCATTGCTCTGCCAGCGCCTTCTTCACGTCTTGGTACATGTACGAGTTGCCCTTCGGACCCGATGTCGCCAGCACTGCTGCTTGCTCGGATGGGTCCAGACCCGTACCGCCCAGCAAGATCAACCCCAGGATGAATTCGTGCATGAAGCCCGTCGCTGGAATGTCATTGCGCACCGCGTGGAGGGCCTTGCCGATCTTGCTGAGATGAATGTCGAACCTCGAGACCCACTTCTTCGGTCCCTCTCCTGGGTTCCTGTAGATGCCTCTCATGAACTCTCTCCACTTCGACACTGCTTCCTGCATTGTCACAGTACCTCGAACGCCCTTCAGCGCATTCACGACTCGTTCGGCACCGTCTTCCTTGACTAGGTCGTCCAGCACGACCTTCTTGGCTTCGTGCCACTGCTGGGAGTCCTCGTCCATTGCCTGAACTAGACGCGGGCCTAGATAGACTCTGTCTTCCTTCTTGGTGCCGAGGACCCACAGCTTCACCTTCTCTTCGAAACTCTCTAGTGTCGAAGCCTCGCCATTCCATACGGGAATCTTGACTCCACTTTGTCCAGACTCCATCCTTCTTAATGCCACTGGAGATCGAGTGATTCACCTCGAAGTGGGCTGCCACTTCGTCTCGCTACCAATGTCAGTGGAGCGTGTTGTCCACGGATCTCAGCCTTTCGCTTCGAGGTGTCCTCACAATATCTGATGAAATATATCTTGATATATGGCGGGGTTCCAGCTCGAGAGAGCTCTGATATACCCAACTCCAATCAAATGATGGCAACACAAGAGAGACAGCGAGAAGCAATCTTATTCCAAACAATCCAAGCGTACGTGTACGGTCCCCATGAGCTTCGGACCGAGTTTCTAAGAACTCACCAGACTGGCTCCAGTCTGGCTTCGCGCCAGAATGGCTGCGGACAGGCGGCCTAGGCAGGGCCTAGACAAGGGTGCACAGGTGTCTCGCTGGGGCTCCCTGGGCTCCTATACTCGCAGAGGGTTGTCTCTACCTCCTCAAAGTATCGAACTTCGAACGAGACTGACAGGGGGGGCGCGGGCGGGGCGGGGGGTCAAGAGGGGCCGTATCAGTGGGGCCCCTCACTCTAACACAACAACAACTTATGGACTTGATGGCTCCGCCCTCCCCATCCTCATCGTCCTGCTCGCACTTCGACGTCTTGCCCCATATCCTGGGCCCTAGACCAAATCGCAGAAACAGGCGCGCACGGGCGTTCACTCTCACCGCGCCAGGGCCCATATGAGTTTTGGTATATGGAAACCGTGGGTCCCTTTGCAGCATCAGCCATCGAATGAGCGCCCGATCAGGTCTCTTGATGGGCTCGCCCCCCTTCCATTTCCAGGACCTCATGCGGGAGCGCCTGCCCGTCCTAGCGATCTTGGTGTGGTGCCAGGATAAGGCGGCGCAGCTGTAGCCTGCGTCGGTCCCCCGAGGGTGTAGCTCGCCAATCTTTACACCGCCCTGGATAACATCAAAAGTGCGACCTGTTTGAACGAGAAACTGGTCCAGGCCCTCGTCGTCGAGCTGGTGCCCGGGGACTGGGGCCGCAGGGCCAGGGGGGGGGAGCGGGTCCGGGGGGGGAGCAGCAGCATCGTCGACAGCGTCGTCAGCCCCAATGCCAGCCTTCTCTTTTTGGAGGTCCTCATGAGCTCTATCAAGGGTCTTCTTGACGTCGGGAGGGCAATCGTCGTCGTCGCCCTCCTCGTCCCCCTCCTCCTCGCTCTCGCTGCCGTCGCTCCCAGATTCGACCGCGTAGGCCGCGGCGGCGCTGCCGCTGCCCGCGGCAGCGGCTGCTGGCCACATGCTGGACGCAGGCCCCTTTGCCGCCCCCTGTCTGTTTCTTCCCGACCTCCATCATGGGTGTCATCATGCTTTTCTTGAGGGCCTTATCCATGTCGCAGAGGTCGCTCAGATCTTGCATCGCTTCATCATCTTTATCAATGTTATCGCAAATGTCATGCAGTCTGGTCACTTCCTCATTCAACACGTTCACTTTCTCCCCTTGGCTGCGGTTGACCTGAACGATGCCGATCGGCACTGGGGCGCTTTGGACGTGCCTGACACCAGTCTCTCCAGCCCGGTCGTGCCCTAATGAGCCATCTTGCGTTGCTTCTTTCACAAATGTGTCAATGAGATGCTCGCCCTGATCCCATTGGATTTCCTCGCGGCCGCTCTCGGGGTCAACAATAACACTGAAAGTTAATTCCCACGGCGTGTTTTCCCCAACAACAATATCATCGACTGTCGTGGGACATCTGGGTTCCAAATGCGCTAGCAGCAATTCTCCGTCGTGTTTACTCGACACCATGGCGGGCACAACTCTATCAATACGCACCCCTTTCTCCATAGTGAACACATGGACAGACAGAACAGGCATGCGGCACCAGCGGGCCCCGTCCCTGACCGAAACCGCCAGGTTGAACCACGGAGAGCTCCGACACACCAACGGCGAGCAGCAGTTGTCGTAGATCACCTGCCCTCACCCTTGTCACAAGCTAAAGCTGCTCACACATCCCAGACCTAAGCTACCGCCTCCATGTCAAGTGAGGCGAGTACATGTCTCTTCGTTTCGCGCGCATGTGGGCGCCCACGTGCAAATGCACACGCACACATGCAGAGTGCACTCAGAAGCAATCCGGCCCCAATCCCCCAGTCAATCGATTCGCGGTGGGTGGCTGGTGGCTGGGTGGGTAGGGGATGGGCGGCGGGTGGGTTGTGGGCGGGGGGTGGGTGGCGAGTGGGTTGTGGGTGGGTGGTGGGTCGGTGGTAGGTCGGCGGCTGGTCGTCGGTGGGTGGACGGGGGTGGGTGGGTGCTTCTCCTGCTCCTCCTGCGCTTGCTGCCGTTGCTGCTCCCCCTCCTGCTTATGGCATATTCTTCATGTCAGCCCTGACAGCTCCTGCTCGCCACAAGTTCGCATGCAGCCAAAAGCGCACTTCAAATTAGATGGGGCCACTGGGCGAGGCCTACCATGGCTGCCCCCGCTGGGAAAGAAAACCCGGCGCGTCGGGGTGCCCGTCGAGAAGAGAAGGGGGGGGAGAGGAAGAAAGCAATCAAGAGGGAGAGGGGATGCTGGGGAAGAGAGGAGGCAGGGGACGGCCAAGTCCGCATGGCATCTCACTCATTCAAGCGCCCGCGGATATCCGAATTGCCGCCTTCCTCCCGGAGGCGGCTGCGCTGGCGGCGACAGCGAAGCGCGGGGCAAGGCTGCGGCGGGGGGGGGGGGGGGGGGGGGGGGGGGGGGGGCGCAGCCATCGACTTGCGATTTCCAGTTGCCAATTGTTCCGCCTTCCTCTCCCTCTCCCCCTTCTCTTGTCTCTCTCCCTCTCCCTCTTCCTCTCCTTTTTCCCTACCTCCTATATATCTTCATGAGTATGTATGTGATGTATAATGTATATATGAATATCTGTATATCTGACGCTCGCTCTTTATGTTGTACTCTGCGTCTCGCTCGCACCCCCTCTGCCCGCCCCCTCTGGCCTTGGCAGGCGTCTCTTTTTTTGTTTATATATATACATATATAAACCCAATCACATCCGGGATCGGAATCTCCAGCTCGCCCTGCCTCTTGGCGATTTCGGTAATCACTGTCTTGTCGAAGGGGGGCGCGGTGGCCAAGTTAGGGCTCAGCGGGCTGGACAAATCACCCAAACCCCAGGGGATCTGCAGGTTCGGAGCCGACGCCGCTGACGATGCCGCGCCACCGCCGCCGCCCTCGCAGCCATCATCTGAATCGCTGGCGACAGCTGCCCTCCTCGCTTTCTCGGCCAGGGCCATTGTTTCATGCCGTGCTTTCTCTTCGGGTGACAGTGCTTTCCATTTTCTGCCAAGAGCCCCCATGCGCCCCCCTGTCCTGATAGCGTAGCCACCCTCTCCTTCCGAAGGGCGATGGGCGCTGACATGCGCGTTCCATCCGTCAAAACGACTTCTCTTTCCCTGGCGCGGTTTCGGCGCCCCCCCTCTTTTAAGTTTATCCGGGGGGGGGGGGGGG